TTCATTAACATCTTCATGGCCTCAGGTGAAACCCCCTCTAGGCCCAACGCGTTGCCTTATGCTGGTCGTAGTCTTGCTGTTTAGATCTCTTCTGTTAGTTCTTTGGAATGCCTTTTTTTGTCTATTAGAATCGGTATGGGTTCTCTTAGTCGTTGTCTGAGCCCAAGGTGCGTGATAATCTCTTCCACCATATACACCGGTAGCCTCGAAGCCGTCCTTTTCAGTTAATTCGTAACTATTTGATAGAGTAAATCAAAGCTGTCTCTTTACATTTCTTTAATTAGTTTTTTTTTTTCACTTGGCTTCGCCTAATGTGGATGTGGAGCATTCTGTAGACACATCCCAGGTCTTGGTTTTTTTTCCATGCTCGTATCATCTCTTCTCTGTCCTGTTGGTTTGCTTTACTCTGCCAAGTAGGTCCCCTTCTTATCTACGCTGAAGTTTGAGCATTAGGGGCAGGGTTCGGCGTTTTTAGCATTCCATCAGTAAACTACTGGCTGGAGCGATTTTGGTGCCATCTTTTTGCAACCGCTTACAGGTATTCGTTTAAGTGGTTGTTCATAAATAGTCCTGTTAGTTTGTCTACTATTTCTAGCAATCTCATTTTGAAGTGAATCGTAGTCGAGTTTTCACATTTGCCATCTCCTCTTAGATTGGGGTAGTGCTGTTACGCTAGCTCGTTCGATCATTTCTTTTCAGCTATTCACTCCGTAATAACTGGGAGAACATCCTAACCTCCGAAGATAGGATTACTGAACGATTCTCGGTTGCTGGAAGCGAAAACGGGTACTCTTCCGTCATTTGAGTAACGTCCTTTGGCAAGCGTATTTGGATATCCTCATTCTGTAGCCCTTCAGTTGAGATTTCCAGTGAAGCTAATCTGTTGTTTTCCCCCATCTCCATGTTCTTTGCTGGATCCCCTCTAAAGCTCTCAAGGTCTTTCATTTCTTGTTACGTGAATGAGAGCAGACGTGAACCGCAGCTAGCACGTTTATATTTATCCATGTAGATTCATTGTCTTAGCGCCCTTGACAGCCAACCGGTTATTGTGCTCTGTCCTCCACTTTGTCGTGTTGGCGGCCTCGTTTATCCTCCAAGGACCTAACTCTCTGGCTATTGCTATGTTTGGCGCACTAAGTAAGCAGAAGCCTTTAGGCCGCCTAGCTGAGCATGTCGTGCACCTCTCCACAATTGTTTAAATCTAATTGTTAAATACTAAGTATTCGGTTTTGCTGTTCTACTACTCTCCTGAGTGATGAGCCCTTGCTCATCATTGTTGGAATCCTTTCTTGTTTTTTTCTGTGGCATCTTTTTCACTTCTCTTGGTAGCTGGCCGCGTTAAGGTAACCAGACAATTCCATCCGCCGCTTTTTCCCACTCTATGACAAAACTTCGCTCATAGACCCCGCTGGATCTGACTTGCTTCCAGAAAAGTGTCCACGTTACGTAAAACCATTGTCATAATAGGCTCTGTCACCTCACGGACATCTGGCTACACAGGTAGCCCCTCCGCTAGACCTACTCCTTCGTTTATTTCTTCGTCTCTAGTCTTCGTGACTGCGGCCATTTTCACTCCAGCTTCATCCAGCTCAATTGCATCGTTGATAGCGCGGAGAGTGGCCTAAAAGGTTTGTATGTTTTTTTTTGTGTGAAAAGAGCACCCTAACGGTGCTCTTCTCACTAGTGGTTCGTTGCTTGGACCTGTCTCGTCTCCAAAAATAGCTCCGTGCTTGGGGAGAAGGATCCTGTCCTATCATTAGCTCGACACGGCAATCAGATTTCTTGTAGCAGGCCACTTCCGTTCATCGGTTTGACAGCACGTTTCATTTCTCTGAAATGTGGAAAGCCAAGGTGTCTACAATCGGTGATGGTGCTATATCCCCGCCGTTCTTGATGACCTTTTTGAAAGTGCTTACAAAACCACTCAGACCCCACTAAGGGAGATAAAGCCCCTACTCATACGTCTATGGATTTATAGGGGCGTTATTTCCGTCGGGTCTGCTGTTGACAATTTTTAGTGCATCAACGCGAGCACGTGACGTGTTAGAACACAGCCTTGAGCTGTTCCCCTGCTGTAAGAACTGCCAGGTTATGCGCACTTGCATCACAAAGTTATAGTCATAAGCGCCTGCAGAGTTCTTTGTTTCTCTCAGTTAGCTTCTCATTGGTTTCTTGCAGCCCCTTCAAGTTTTTTGTGGAATGTACTCCTTCTTTCTTTAAGCCATTAAATTGCGAGTTCAAGTCTTGGTAGTCAAGTTCGTGTTCTCAAATTACTCTTTCAGGTTCTTGAACGGCTACGCAGAGTCGTTGATTTCGCTGAGGGCATCTGTATCACCCATTGGTGAGCTGTTTGTCTGTATAGCTTCCCTTTGATCCTTTTCAAGCGCTTCTTCTTAACTAATTTGCCTACCTAAGTAGTCATGCTCTTTGACCTTAGTGATTCACCAGGCGACCTTTCGCGGTTCTATTCGTCTCATCCGCCGTAGCGTCGCGTATTCGGCAATTAAATCTTTGTATAACCTCCTCTTATTACAAGGTCGCTAGAGCTGTCTGCTCGGATACTGCCGATATATACTGGCATTGTCGGATGTCTCTTTGCCATCGGCGAGTGCCGACAGTTTCTTTCCTTTATAAAAAACTTCATCATGTCTCTTGAGACTAACTGTGCATCTTCTAGGGTCGATACCAGTCGCCTTCGGATAGTCCTCCGCTTATATTCTACTTTCTCGATAAATTTCTGCGAGTTATATTCGATTATTAGGTTCAGAACTGTTTGATGCGTCGTCTCCTAAATCAAAATTCACGCGCCGGGTTAATGGGCTACTGGACGGATTAGTAAACAAACAGTGATTCGACTGCTACATGTTCCATGTTTGCGGCACGTTATATTCTTACCATGTGCAACCTTCGACCACAGAAAACATAGCGACTTATAGTCCAATTTCAGCAAAATACTTAATACGCACGGATGTCAGTTACTACGTCTTCTGAGCGACGTTTGTCAGTTTACAGCCTATTTAGTCACTGTGTTTCCTTCCTTACTCATGGAATAAGCAATGCGTTTAAACCTTATATGAATATATCTAGAAGCGATAATGTATTACGAAAAAAGGAAACGTTTACTATTCACAACACTTAGCAACTTATCTTTTTGTCGTCCACTTGATTTACTGGCATCTTGTTAGAGCTCCAGCTCATCAGAATTCAAGCTAAGGTTTCAATATTTTTATTAGGAGCTCGAATACACCTCCTTACTTCTAGATCTACTTTGACAAGTCTCCCATTCCAAACCTAAATCACTTCACGTACCCTTTTTTGACCACATAAATACGTTATCACTGCATTATAATGTGGATTATGCTTTCCATAAAGGTCGATGGTGCTGACATGAAGTAGAGTTGTATTCAGCTTTGGGTCTAACAAAGGTTTTATCTAAGAATATAGCTGCCATGAGGAGAATGCAAGCTTACGGAATAAGAAAAAAGAAGTTAGATAAATTTAAAAATAATAGAAAGGCGATGTGAACCGCCCAGTATATTCTCTAATAATTTTAATTTCTCATTAGTGCAGGCGGACTTTCCCTTGTTCATTTTTGTGACTTTGTAGGCCTACAGGAATATGAGAGAAATGTTTGTCGTCCTACCCAGTCCTGATGCAGCGCATAGTCCGTGACACCGTCCAAGGCCACGCCTGAATATCCAACTTTAGTATGCCTTGTGCACAAAAACACTAACTAAAATATACATGTGTAAATAGATACGTTTACACCTTTGCAAAAGCTCTCGAATACATACACTGGTCGTTATCCGTTCAATCTAAATTACAGATGCACGCAAACACCTATAATAGATTGATAGATCGATAGGGGCGTACTTAGTTGTTCTGACGGCACTTCTCTGATGTACATGGCTTTGCGATCAGCTCGTGTCATTGAACGTAGTACGATACACAAGGTTAAGCGGAGAATTTGTTTACTAATTGAGATATTTTTTGGCTTCGAAATATGGAGGCGTTGTGATAAGGTCATATACGTTAAGTTTCCTATAGAACGGATTACTATACGCAGTTTCTTAGAATGGGTGAAATCAGAATAGATTACAAATCTTTAAGTTCTATAGTCTGTCCTATGGAATGCCTTAAGACGAGATCGGGCGTAGTACTTGAAGCATAGAGAAGCTATAGCTAAAATTCGTTTTATGATATCCGCCCCGCTCTTGAAGAAGAAACGACAGCAAATGGTTTCGACGTCTGCCTTTCCATTGTAATACTAACGGGTTAAATGATCTGTACTTTTACAGCCATTTAAACGTTCATTGCTACTACTAACAAGCCATGTGAAACAGCGTCTATCCGAACTTTGTCAGTGTGGTGTTTCAGAACACTAAATTGCTTTTTATGCGTTGATTTTTATTTGAAGCTGAGAAAGGCAGCCGACGGTTTAGCTTATTCCAAGCCTTTGGATGCGTATGAAGAGCAGGATACCTTAGCTTTCGTATAAGTTCGATGTACTACGTTCATGCCCAAAGTTCATTTTTCTGAAACAATGCTATGGCTTCAAAGTAGAACATGTTATCTTGAAATCAGGCTATTGTATATCCTTGTTTCATATTGAACATCTGTCAACTGATATCGATCTATAGCATTATTTCCACCTAAATGAATGCAACAGTGGCTTCCTCTATGAAAGTGCACCGGATGCAGAGTTCCGCATTTCTGCACACTAACGAAAATAGAAAATGGTAATGTTATTGCTCACGCAATCCGAAATATTTACTGTCCATCTTGTTTTAATACCAAAGTAGGCATGTAAATATGCAAATAAAGTATGCAGTTGAATACGGTACTGTGTCTTGTAGACACACACTGTATATCCAACGTATACGTAACGGTTCAATAAAAACTCATATTATTCGCGTCTATAGATATATCTGTAGGCGTTATATTACTTAGGAGAGAGCAGGGGACGAACACGGCCATAGAAAAGTGGTAATCTAGAGAAATTAATAAACCAAGATTAGAGCTGGTGATTAAACACAATACACAGCGTTCATAAAACTTAAAGAAATATTTTGTCGGAAAAGCAGACGGCAATGTCCCAAATCATAGCGAGTATCGTCAATTTCAGCTCCAGGTGAACAAGGATGTGCTGAAAAATGTCAAAAGTTAATTATATTATACTTATTCGTCTTGCGAGTATTTTAACCGTAATGATTGATTGATGAGAACTTACCTTTGGTAGTCGTTTTTTGCGACGTCGTATTACTTCAAAGTCTATCAGACATGGCACTTGGTTCTCAAAATGTAAATAAATGAAGTAAATCATGGTAGATACTTGTAGTTTAGAATCGACATGAATTTACGGGCTTCGATGTCTGAAGAGTCATTATATTATTATAGAATAAGTTTATGTAACGATGACTCTTACTATGACTGAGGTACTACTGTGCAATGTGCGGTTTAGGTCACAGACCTCGTATACGAATTGAAGCTCTACTACACAATTCTGACTGGCAGAGTTTCTCTTACGGCTGTGATCCTGTTAATACTATTCATTGTATGGTATACAACACTTTTTACCTCTTGCTGTCATCTTCTACCCCGTTTGGCCACTCCCGTTGTCGTTACGTACTGCTGCCATTTTGTTTTACTACTGGTCTTCTTCTTCTCGCTGTTGGCGGTCGAGTGGAAGAGATGGGAACGTGAAGACAAAATATTTAGAAGCTGCAACGATATAATTACTGTCCACAGATATCAGCCAGGAGTCACTGTGAATAACAGAGGACGCTCCTTCTCCGTGCCGTAATTTCTACACGCTCTGCTATTGAGCGGATATTTAATAAAATAGAAATCTTGTCAAACCCGCAACCCAAAGCAAGATAGAAACCATATACATTGGCCCGGTCGTAATATAACCGACAAGAGAATTATGTGGAGGGGATAGAGAAACGTCCGATGGCCTAATGATGTCTGTATGCACACGTCCCTCTACGACCGGCTCCTTCACTGAAATAACGCACTAAGCAATGTTAGGCAACAACCACAAAGTATAAGTAATCTCTGAAATTTCCATTTTTAAGAAGGAGATCGAGTCATCGGGCTGAAAACTAAGATAATGCAAAAACATTTTAATAATGTTAAATGTGAGGGTGGTCGATTAAATATATGAGCAAAAAGGTTGCAGACTTCATTGTAATCTATAGATTTGTACATAAAGACACAAAGTGGATACATGAAGCGTATATAATGAATGCAGATGTTGTTCCTACAACTGCTACTGTCTCTGTCACGCTTTCACCTGATCTTGACAGCATTCTCCTAACACAGCTTTTCACATAATCTCCGATATACGCACACCTAATTTGTAATATATATATTTTAATTGTAATATATAGTTTTTTTAAGTCACATCTAAGAGCCTTTTGGGTAAATGGGCTGTTTGGTTCTAATTGCATTTTAAGTGATAGGAAGCAATAATCGACGAGTGCTCAACAACAATTGATCTGAGCAGGACAAATTCTGTTCGAGTAAGTCAATTTTTTGTAACTCATTATCTACAACATCTATTAAGTACAACACCGGATAAGAAATTTTGCGGAAAAGAATATTAACCAAATCAAGGGGCCTTATTGATGCTGGACATTAAACAGACAACAAACTCGTCGCCTTTTCGGAGAGTCAGAAGTCATAACTGTACGACGGTTGTTTTTTAGAAATCGAAAATATTGTCTACTTATATTCTTTACTAGCGTACACCAAAATGACTATTCGCAGATAAGAACCTCCGTTATACTAAAGTCTGTTTTCTAACTAACTGCCACCTTTGAGAGTATGTAGTATAGTCTAGAAGAACAGTCCCACTCATACAGTTTTTACCATTTATTAATTTAGTGATTATACAGTTATAAACGATTCTTCTTATACAGTTATAAACGAGTTAATAGTTGCGTCCTTTTCAATGAAGGTGGCGGATCTAAAACAACGTATTGGTGTAAGGAACGTGTGCCTATTTTTCTTTCACCTAAAAATCTTTGGTCGACTTTATGATAATGCATGACATCAGTATTTATACAACAAGAAAGCGTAAAGGAAAGGCTATAATAGAACGCAAACGAATACTTAACTGCTTCTGCCGCCGGCAGTAGGAACACATTGTCCGTACAACAGCCGGTGTAGCCTACGTGCGCTTTCAATACTGGTTTATAGGGATGAACCGCTTCCACTTTTAGCCCGAAAACGCTGCCTACGAGATTCGGGGAGGTAGTTGATCCTTCACGGTCCAGTAAGTTGATAAATGTGTACAAAAACGGAAATTAACGAAAAGGGTATAACAGCAATATGTAAACTTGTTTCTTACTCATTCTTTCTGTCTTGACCGTCCGTCAACCTGTTTGTATCCCTATTTAAGTTTACAACACGCACGTGGATTGACGCGGTAGTTTCAAAAACGACCGTGTCAGTCCACGCGAGTTCCCGTTATAAATACATTCGACGGTGGGCTTCTGCTCCTGCTGCTGATAACGACGACGGCGGGGATCATTCAATAAAAATAAAAAAATAAAGAAGGAACGCTAAAAAATGTTGAACTTCGCTTTTAACGAATAGTACTAGTGTACTCTCTGTAACACATCTGCGCAAAACTCGATTGTCTCTGCATAGATGTATTGTAGGTCGATGGCCTGGAGACAGCAACGAATGGATAATAATATATATAACTGTTATAGCCTCGATTACTGGAGAGTGGCAAATGAGTAGTCGGCGAAAAGGTATCTCAAAAGTAAAAATATTTTTTAAAATTCATGCGGCCGTTATATATATATTTATATATATATATATTCAAAGAGGGGCCTGCTAAAAGATTTGATGGTAACACATCTTTTAAGGCTTGGAAGAAACCGACACTAGAACCGAAAATAACAGGATTATTATAACTACAGGCTTCCTTTAATAATCCTGAGGAAAACAAGAAATGTAGAGTAGATTGGGGCTATACGTGTCAAAACTTTTCTACTGTCACCATTGAACACTGAGACCGGTGTTACAGGAGAGAAAAATTATTTTAGTAAATTCGTCGAAGACTTTCGTATTATGTGTCCTAAATGAGCTCACTACGATTGATTCCTTTTCGAAATAGCCCTACTGAGTGGGCTTACGTGGACCAGAAACTAGGCTGTAAGCACCACTAATGACTTCGTGTGAAGAAATCAGTCACCCAACAAAGCTTAAGGGAGTATGTTTTGTTGATAGAAAGGACTGTGAAGACCATACATATTGGCAAGAGAAGACAATGCTCAACCATAAATCACTGCCAAGCTAGTTAGATTATAATCTATTATGGACCTACCCTAAGTCGAGTTTTCCACGGCACATCTACGAGTTGCATTTTGTTCGAGAAATGAAAAGGAAGCAAAAGAATGTGGGCGCCGGTCCTAACTTAATCGTACTGAGGCTTGTATTATTATCGAGGTTATAGATAATTATTCACGGTAAGTTTTGATCGTGAGCATCGGCAATGTGGTGCACACGGCGATCAGACTGTTTTATTCGAATGATGCATATGTCAGTGAAGTCATCAAAAGTAACAATAACAATATGTTTTTTAGTGAATACGAAGCCTTTGTGTTAATTGACAGATAGACACGTACACTAATTCCTACTGAGTTGCATACTGAGGGGCCATATATTTCTTTCAATTTTTTTGTAGAGTTAACGTCCAGAGGTGTCATCCAGTTCTACATAAGCTCGAAATGCAATGGCCTATACAGCTTTAACCTGTATATATATAATATAATCGTGTAATATGACTCGATATAATCATTTATATAAAATCTAATTTTCTTTGAGCGTTCCCTTGAAAATGTAAATTGGGGACAAACAAAACCGTGCTATAAGAAAAAGCTAGTTATTTTGCCTTTTTAACGTTCAGCTGCCTTATATACGCCCATCCTTTGAAATGTAACATGGATTTCATTCAATTTACAGTTTCAAATAGCTGTTCCCTAGCTAGAAAAATACGCAGTCGCCTGTGCAACACCTGTCCCATAGAGCCTCATTTTCCCTACTTTTGGATCACGTCTTATAACTTATATCTTGGGTAACTTAGCATAAATATATTTTTTATCTGCCATATATTTGTATCTTGAAATTGCTTTACGGTTGAAACTGTATCACGGTGCTCAACAATGTTTTGAACTTTTTACTTTGTTGTATATATAGGACACAATAAGCCATAAGATACCGAGATCTTTTCAAGTAAAGCGTGCGGGCTTGTTAATGGCTTAGTGATCAGCATAAGAAGAAAAGAATTCCTTAAAACAAGCTTGCAAGCATAGAGGATTCGTTTGTGCCCAGCATACTTTTTAGACATATTCTTCATTCTTTACTTCTTCCAACCGCTGATAACAGGACATTTAATAGCTGTGAGGGTGGTGAAACGTTCTCAACAATCTTCAAAGTTTCTGGTAAGGAGGAATAACTAAATTAGTAAAAAATAGCGTGACGGCGAATGGACCATAAATTAACTTGTTCGTCTGAATTTGCTTATTTGGAAGACGAGGACGGAGAATCGGGCAACATTTTGCTGATGCACACAAAAGAGGTCCACAGCAAACTTAATGGTGTCAAAAATCCAAAGCCACTTGTTGTGTTTAACGCCATGCGGCCCAGTGCTTTCCGACTACAGTTGTGCTTAGTTAATATGTATGTAAATTTCAAAGTGAGGGGACTTTTTTTTGAGTGCACATTTCTAGTTTACAGTTGAATGGAACAAACCCAAACAACAAAAGAACAACATTTATAGATTTCTTTGAATCTAAATGAAATAATGACTTATAAAGAGAGATATGGATGGCATGTCATCCATAAAATATATGGTGCCTATCCTATTGTTCAATGAAAATTAGACTTCACAGCCTAGTGTAGTGCCTCATATATCTACATTCTTGAAGGGAATCGTCAGTCTGCCGATGATATTTCTATGGATACTAAGACTGTGATATTTCGTTGTAACAATGTCAAAATAAAAACACAGGGACATCTTTTTATTATCCCTCTATGATGTATTACCATTGCTGTGGCTTGTTCGCCAGTACGATATCGCTGCTCTACAAGAGTTTATACAAGATACGATCATCTTGTTCGTCATTCTGCTGCGAAGTGTAACAAACAGGCAAACGTAGTGACTTTACGTTACATTTGGTTCGCAATCATCATGAAGTATCCCGAAGGAGTGGAACAAATGCTGAGCCGATAATGTATTTAAATTCACAAAGGCTGCAATTTCAACAGTGTACGCATTCAAAATGCTAAAAAACAAGAGAGTTTTCTTTTATTAAAATATGTTTTAAAAATGAAATGATTTATGTTCTTTTTATTCCTACATACATATATCGGAAAAGCTACAGCTTTTCCATACC